CTCTATTTCTTTCTTCTAAATATGTATTAATATTATAGACGAAATCAAATTTAGGGGAGGCAATAAAGATAAAGGTATATCTCGATAAACAAAGAAGGTCAAGAAATTATAATTTATATTTTCCAAGTATATACCTGACCACAGACACAGTGTATTGTTTACGTGCATCCGGTTCGTTGACCTTGTGTTTATCGAGTATATTTCAGCTTTTATAGGCTTCAATCGGTTATATTTTCGATACAGAAATGTCTCTAATATCTTTTCCTTTAATATCATGAACGATTGGACATACTACTGAGGAAAAAATATTCGAAATAGCGGCAATTGTGAGAGGGTTTCTGGCTTGTTTACATGTTTCCAGGCGAAATTCAAAATCGAACGTTCGTTGAATAGCCTCAACAATTTTAAGTCGTTGAGACTGTCGCATTACCATGAAAATAACTGTATCTTTATTGCCTCCCTTAAATTTGATTTCGTTTGTAATATATTACAGTCGATTTCACAAAACTTTGACCGCACATGTTTCAAACTTCGTTGCGAAGTTCAAAAGTTCATAATGAGATTCACAAACCAGTTTGTAAACTGCGCATTTGATTGGCTTCTTTTACTTCAGGGGCCAATCAGGGACTTTGCTTACATGTAATGCCGTTTATCCGCCACATTTTTGTAAATTCAACTGTAGTCCCGCCCCTTAGAAACCCCTTTGACCCTAGAAACGGTCAATTTTGAACAGCCCAACGTGCATTGCGAACGCATGTTGTTTTACGGTCAAACTGAATCGGCTGTAAAATATTGAAACCAAAAATAACATGACATTGTATAAATATAAAATGCCGAAGTACACTTTACACATATTAAAGGCAATATTAAATAAATAAAGCTTATTGGTATAATCAATCCCCAGGGCTTTGGGTTTAGCTGACCTTTTACTTTCTGTAAGGTGTTTGATATTCAAATTTCACTTTTCCTGCCTCCTGAACAGGTGTCCTAGGGGCTGTTTGCATGATGGAAGATGATTTTGATGTATTGAAATAAGTCACTAGGCTATTTAGTAAGCAAAAGTTCAAATGCTGGTTAATTTAAATTAACAGAACTCAAATGTTGTAGAGAAGATTTTGTAGTTCAAGAAGATTATTATTGCTGCTTGAACAACCTTTCGTTTACAGTATGAGGTGTTTTGCTGAATCATGAACCGCGACTTATTTCAATATATCGAAATCATCCTGCCTGATATCTCGTCCTGGCAAAGCAGTATCATATAAACATCCCCTTATTCAGCAAATTGCGCATGCTGCATTTCATTCCTTGGGGGTGAGGCAGCATTTTCCTTGCGATAGTAACTTCTAGTAAAATAACGTTTATTTTAAAAGTACTAGTTAATTAAATGTAGTTACACTATTAGTAGTGTATATATAAGTCCACAAATGTCATAGATTTATTCAATTTGAAATAAAGTTAAACTTTCTGTTCAAATGTGTATTCAATGCCCACTGCATGGCATATTTAGAATTTTTTGAAGGAAATGATGGCAAATGCTCCTGATCGGCCAGATTTTTATGTGATTGGCAAAAAGTCCTGATTGCCAATCACCATGATCGGGAACGTTGCGAACGTTATTTCGAGCCTTGCCTGAACACACATGTGATCAACGCTTGACAGGCATTTAGTAAATTTTATGCATACAGGGCGTCTAAAAACAACGCTATGGAAATTCAACAGGCTGTCGTGCATCATAAACTTACTAGCTAAACAATTCAATTTTTACATAGGACGAAAGAGCTTTTATTTAGCTTTTCTATGATATCTTTTTTATATCGTATCGATGAGAAATGGCCACATACTCGTCAAACAAAAATTACAGGTCGAAATCACATTCTTCCACTGTTGGGAATTGAAAAGACATTAATTATGCAAAGTTAGTCAATCCAAAAGGAACGCAAGCCTGCTGCAAGCTATTTGTTTCGTAAAACGTTTTGATTGCGAATGTTCTCTGTTCAGGGGTTAATTGAACCATTGAGTTATAATTGTCTCACTAAGACGAATTAGATTGACGAGTTGAGCTCTTTTTAGATAATTTAATATTTATCACTTATTTACTGAGACCGAGGGAAACAGTGTGTTTTGTGGACCCGAGACCGTCGAGGCGAAGCCGAGGGAAACATCGACGGTCAAGGGTCCACAAAACACACTGCTTTCCCAAGGTCTCAGTAAATAAGTGTTTTATTATATATCAATAGTCAAGGAAACAACAAATTAAAGAACAAATGAACTAAATACATAATTACTAGGCGTCTAGGCATGTCCAAAGGTCGCACCTTCACGTGATGGCACACGTGATATTTTTTCGTTATTCGCCGGTCGATAACGTATTGTTTCCCTCTCGCGCTGTTGCGAGGGAAACAGTCTAATTTCGTCACTCTCACGTGATATGCTCTCGACCAATAAAACACTAGAAAAATGCGACTTTGACTATTTAACAAATATAAAACATTTTCCGTGTTGATATACAGTTATATCAACACGAGTGGAATTGGGAAAACGAGAAATTGTATGGAAACACGACGCCCGAAGGGCGGAGTGTTTTCATACAATTTCGAGTTTTTAATTTTCCAACTTCCACGAGTGTTGATATAACTATATATCAATACGGAAAAAATGTTTTATATTTTTTTTATAATATAGCAATGTCAAAAGCCCGAAGGATAAGAAAAATTTCTGTGTTTACAAGCGGCGGAAAATTTCCCGTGTTGACATCGAGTTATATCAAGACAGCTCTTAGCCAATCAGCGTTCAGAATTTACAAATGCTATATTATAATGGTATGTATTAATCAATTTTAATTCCCTCTTGGGAATTGTCTATGGTTCGTTATCCATGCAATTCCCAACGGTGGCAAAATGATGCCGACAAAGGAAAAAGGTCGCTTCTCGTGAAAAAATTCGCTAGTGGAAAACCGGCTTTAATTAAGGCCTGATTCCACGAGACGGAATTTTTCGACCGAAACGAAATTTCTCTTTGTCTTTTTACAAT